CGTATATATATATACACACACACATATATATACACACATACATATATATATGCATATAAATATATATATATATATATATATGTTTGTATATACCGACCAGGTGGCCGAGTGGTTAGCGTGCCTGTCTGCGCAGCCGATGGTTGCGGGATCGAATCCCGCTCAGATCATGGATGTTTCTTTCTCTCTCTCTGTGTTCTATGTCCTTTCTCCTTTGTGTGTGTGATTGTGTGAATGTGATCCGCCCTATAAACGGGTCTGTGACGTAAGCGACGCTGCCCCACCGCCGTGGCTTCGCCACAAGTGTCCACTGGGTAACGAGAAGAGAGTAGCAGTTCTGGCATTCCTGAGGCCAATGGGTCAAGATCCAAAGTGTCCGCCATTGGGAATATATATATAAATAGATCCTTCATTTAGATATTTTGAAATTTTGCATGTATTGCTAACTAACAGGTTTGAAACAAGACATGTGCAAAATGACAAGTACAATGCACACAATAAAAAACGGACCACCTTGAAAAACTTTTAATCTTCACGATCGGATCTTCACGTTCTAGGACTCTTTCTTATTGGCTGGAGGGTGTGACCTCAAATATGCTAATTAGTAAATGTCGACGATGTTTTAATTTAGGATGTTAGATACAAAAACATACATTCTCTGAATAAATATACCTTTTTTTCGTCCGATTCGGGTTTCTGACCCCCAAAATAAAGGGGGTAAACTTAATCAGGGAAATATGGTCACAATAGTTTGGTCAGGAGAGCGCTTCAAAGTTTTGAACCTTTAATGTTATTTTGACTTTTTGCGTATTTCTCTGCATCTGGAAAACTTTTTAAGTGAATTCAAAAAGTTTTGAGCACAATTATAAAATTCGTTCATCCAAAGGTAAAGCCATGTAGTAGATATTTATTACTTTTGTTAATATTTTTTTTTAATAATGGTTGAAAAAATTTTAAATTGTAAGGTATGCAATTTTTGAATTACTTTGAAGAATATAATTTTACATGGCAGAATACAAAATTTGAGCGAAATCGGTCGAATAGTTCTGGAAAAATAGAATTTTAAATATCTGACTTTCTTCAAATTCAATTTCTCAAGTACTTTTCGACCGATTTTGCTCAAATTTTATATTTTGCCATTTAAAATTATATTCTTTACAAAAATGCAGAAATTTTTATGCCTTACAATTCAAAATTTGTTTGACCATTATTATAGTTTGTTGACCAATCCAGTTAAATAGTTCTCGAGATATGGCGAATACGCAAAAAGTAAGATTAATATTAAAGTGTCAAAACTATGGAGCGCTCTCCTGACCAAACTATAGGGAACATATTTCGCAGATTGCGGCTACCCCCCCCCCCCGCTATGCTTTGGAGGTGGGCAGAAATCCAAATCCGTAGGGAAAAAAGTATATTTATTCAAAAAATTAGTTGAACAAGAAAAAAATTTGTTTTATTTAATAAGATCAGTGATCTGATCAGCAAATAAAACTGTCTAGAATAAATTAGGCTAATTGAACAATAAATATATTTTCTAATCAGTCTGAAGCAGGGTCTCGAAAATATATTCTGTAGAACCCTAAGGTTTCATAGAAGGATCATAGGGGTTCCGAGAGTTTGAACTTTTTTTTAACCAGTAATATCTTTCAAAAGCAAGGAATTATACTTTTCTAACAAGTAATTCATATTTTTTTTTAATATTTTGGTTTGGAAATGACAAAACTTAAAAATTATATTTATTTTTGCTAATAACAACATAATGGACAAATTAGGAAAAAATGTATACTAATAAAAAAATTCTATTGGTATTTCGAATCAAAACTTGCAATTCAAAATAAAATGACCAATACCAGTTAGAGGGTTGTTTTTTTAAATAAGGGCGCAGAACCCAAACGGGAAAAATTTTTCAAGAAGCAAATTTATTTTCAGCTTGTACATACATTTCTCTTTTTTTT